ATAATAAAGGAAATCGAAATTATTATTTTATTTTTTTTAGGGAAAAATAGGAAAATTGGGGGTACGCTTAAATTCATAGTGAAGTACACCTCAGTCTCTCTCGAGGGCGCACTGTACGTATATGCATGAGAAGTCTCATGGTGGTCGCTCACCTCGCGACGAGCGCAAAGTTGACGAGCAGGACTTTGATGGCGACCTCGGGGAGGTAGTGGGGGTTGGCAAGCTTGGTGGTGATGAACAGCTTGAAGTTGGCGTTGTAGGGCACCAGGGTGTCTCCCAGCTTCATGACGAGCGCCGTGCCCGAGGACTGTCCCGGCGCGGGGAAGGTGGCCCGGGCCAGCACCGGGTCCAGGGCCGGGTCCAGCTCCTCGCCCACGCACTCTAGCAGCGTGGGGAAGCCGTAGCGGATGGCGGTCTCCAGCGAGCGCATCAGGTGGCCGTCCGACAGCTTGAGCACCGTCAGGTCCGAGTTCTTATACTGCGCAAAACGATGAACAATATTCAAATACTACACTCGACGACTGCACAATTAATACTAAAGTAGCTGGCAAAGTCGGTGGTCGGTTAGCAGCATTCACCGTGTTCCGTATCCAGCGGTTGGCCTGACCCTGGGGGTCGATAAATAGTGGCCAGCGCCGCGAGTGTGTCACCAGCACGGCACTCTCGGTAGACAGGGCGTCCCTGGGGAGCCCGTCCACCTGCCACAGTCGAGTAAGCACGGGGTCGCCCAGCGTGCCGACGGGGGTGCAGCCTGGGTGGTGTGGGACCCCGGCGCCCGGCAGAGCCTCGACCCAACGTCGCAGCAGTTGTCGCCGGTACCGGTCCGTGAAGGGCGTGAGGTAGGCCACCGCTCCTGTCAACACAGTCACCGTGCAGGAAAAAGACTGGCCCATTTACCCATTTTTTCCCGGTTTGGTGCTGCTGCTCATTGTAACACTGAATCTGTCAAACTTTTTTTTTAAATTCGATCTGGGTTTTCAATTTGGTGGAAGAGGAAGATGAATCATGACTGCGCCACGTGCGCCACGCGAAGAAAAAAAAATAAGAAAAAATAATTACTTCACCATAATGAAAAGAGGACTACTTTTCCTCATCCGCCAACATCAGCAGAAAGGAAGGGGAAAAAAAGGCGACGGAAAAATTATAGAAGCAAGGGGGTGGAATGTATGATGAATGGAGCGTGCTATTTGGGGGGAGCAGGCAAGCAAGCTCGGAGAGAGCAAGAGTGATGAATAATGGAAGATGGACGGATTGTCGGGGCGGGTGGAGCCGGCGGCGGAGCGAGGCTGGGCCGGGCCAAGCAGTCGGCCGATCGCTGTCGTGATGAAGAGGCACTATCGGCGCTCACCTAGCGTGACGACGGCAGGGAGAGGGGGTAATCGGCCGAGCCTATACCGCGCTCTCCATCCCTCATCTGTCACTGAGCCTCGAAGCAATATCGCGCACGTTGCGGCGGGAAACGGCGCGCTCGTTATGAATTGGGCGTGCTCGCGGCAGAGCGAATCCGACTCGGGCAATCTGGTGTACACCTTCGGCGATCTTCAGCATTCAGCCATGATTTTTACCCCCACATACACAAGGTGAAATAAGCTTATATTTCTCGAAACTATTAGTTCAGTAATCTGGCAAGCCTGATGCTACTAGCAATCTGTATGGCACACCCGGTCTTTTTCTTCTTCTTCTTTCTCTCTCTCTCTCTACCCCTCTGTTCCAATCGCACACATCCCTCGACTCGAACAATGGCGCTGGTTGCGTGTCCGGGATTACGGTAACCGAATATCCCTTCCAATATCGTACCCAGCTGGGCCAACTGAGACAGAGACTGCGCACGGCGCAACATACGGAGTGCGGGTGCACAGAAGCGATTCTCTTCTTCGTATTAGGCCAAAAAGAAAGTTGCCTCGTGCCAGGAATGAGAAGGGATTTTTTTAATATGTGGGGGTGGAGCTCATAGTTTAAAAACCCTTTTCGTTTACTCCAAGAGAGAGCGTGGGTTGTAATTTCATTTCGTCCTTCACTCGCTCCCGCTTGTCAGTCGGCCTCCACTGTTCTACTTTACCTCCTCTCATCTGCGGAACTGCGCGGCGCGCTAATTCAAACTGAGTTTGAGCACGCGGACCACGCGGGGCTCGACGCGGGGTATGCTTTGCAGCTTGCGTGGCGGTCGCGTCTTCGTGGTCCTGCCGGAAGCGCTCGCTGCTGGACACGCTCGCTCTCCGGCTCGACACGCCCTCCAGGGAGCCAACATTATTGGGGACACTCGAACCCAATAACCTTTCTCCGCGTTACGTGCAGCAAAGGGTGTGGACACGCGGGCCTCTCCGCCCTCACCCACCATTCGTTTCCTTTCGGAGTCCGGCAGGAGGGCGATAGTGGGATCACCAGAAAGAGAGAGAGGGAGAGAGAGACGAGAGGGACAGAGAGGGAGAGAGAGGGACAGAGAGGGAGAGAGAGGGACAGAGAGGGAGAGAGAGGGAGAGAGGGAGGGAGGGAGAGAGAGAGAGAGAGGCAGAG